ACCCGCCGATTGCTCATTTCGGCAAAAGGCATCTTCAGCCTCCGACGACTCGGGGACTTTACTCGAGCCCTCTTTCGAGATTCCCTCGGTTCGAGGTTGAGTCTCTTCGACCCCAACTGACTCAGCGGCCTTTGAGGCATCGGCATTTTTCTTCACTTGAGCAACCAATGCGGAGCCGTCGTCTTCATCTTCTTCTTCCTCTCTCAGTTGCTGAGCTACATCAGCGAGCAAAGGGGCGGTATCTTTCTTCGGCTTACGAGCCTTACTCTTCTTGGGCTTTGGAGTCTCGTAGGGCGAGACCCTTTTTCTTTTCCTTCGTCGGCTTCGGGATCGGGAGCGAAACCTCCTCCTCCCCGGACGGGGGCCTCATGACGGCATCTTTCTCGAGGCCTGTATGAAAGGAAGTCAAGTGAGTATAAGAGGGAAACATTTTAACGAAGCCATAAGATACATGAAGAAAAGGCTTACCGTGATTTTTGGCCTCTCATCGGCCCCTTGCTAAATCGCGCCATGAGCGCTCATCGTACGAGGAGGTCGAAGCTAGGGTCCGAACCCAACTCTCGAGGTTCGAAATCGCACCAGGCATCCAAGCGACTGCTACATCATAGAAAAGGATGTCGATGAGGAGAAGTAAAGGAAACAAAACAGTAAATAGAAGCTAAAGGAAGGATTGAACTTACGCTTCATATTCCACTTCTCGGGAAATGACATCTTCTCGCCGGAATTAGGTCGGAAGTCTTCACTCGAACGAACCGACCCATCCACCCTCGATCCTTGTCTATGCTCGAGAACAGTACCTTGGTGGCCCGACGTAAAAGATTTATTAACCCACCTCGAAAAAGATGAGGTCTATATAGCCTGATGAGGTGGTCGAGGGCGAAAGGCGTCCCTTCGACTTTGCTCGCGAAAAATCGGAACAGAATGACCATCTGCGTAAAAAAGGGTGGATCTGACCTAGGGTTATTCGATATTGGCGATAAAAGTCAATGATGACGGGATCGACAGGGCCCAGCATGAAAGGATAAGTGTAAACACTTAGAAACTCTTCCACACAGGTAGTGATATCTTCCTCGGGGGTCGGAATCACCACCTCTTTCTTCTCCCAATGGCAGTCTTTCTTGACCTACTCAAGGTCACTCTCAGTTATCGAGCACATATATCTCAACATTGGCTCATACCGGTCAGGGACAGATGAAGTTTTCTTGACTTTGAAGTCGGAAGTAAGATCACACCCCCCCTCGGGAACGCACTCCTTAGGGCGCGGCTCCACCAATATTTTATCGCCTGCCGACCGCGATGAAGAGGCGCCCTCCTTTTGTGGAATAGTTTTAGACATTTCTTCCATCCCTGCAAGTTGAAAGAAGGAAGAAGAGAATGAGGTTTGGTGTTTTGAGGGAAGGTTGATAACGAAACCTAGAGATTATGCAGCACGAAAAAGCTTGAAAAAGTGAAAAGCTTTGAGGATTAGGGCGGAGATTAAGAGTAAAGTTTGGGCAAAAGAGAAGGAAAGCACATTTATAGGAAGAAGATGACGGTTCAAAATCAATAATGGTGGACAGCAACTGACAGGCATTTAATCCCTCAATATGCGAACCGACGGGACGTTTCAGTCACTTCCGTCGCTTACATCATGAAGATGACGTCATGACAGGTCGAGGTGCAAAATCGAAGGCTCAATTCGTTTCTTCTCGTTACACTCCAAAAAACGAGGGGACTATCTATATATGGTTAAAACTGGGTCTACCCGATTTTACTATTTGATCAAGGCTAGGCAATTGCATCGGAGGTCGGCCTTGGAACGGATCAGACCGAGGTACGAAGATAAGGCACCGAGTTCGAGACCGAGGTACCTAACGAGGATTGAGGCCAGTAGCGATCGAGACCAAATGAGACAGACATCGAGCAAAGCACAATAACAGAAAGGCGAGATATCCGTGACTGGCCGAAGATCATGGCGTAAATCTCGGAAGAGATCAAATCAAGGGCGTTTATTTAGTTAATCATAGGATTTGCTTCCGTAATTAGAATTGTACCATAAACAGGATTCCTCTACTATATAAAGAGGGCCCTAATCATTTTGTAACCATCTTACATTCACGCATACCAAGGAATACAATACTTTCTGGCTTACATTCTTGTTTATCAGATTGCTATATCTTTAATTATTCTTGCATCGATCAGTTCGAGGGTATTCAACTCGAGGGCTGAACTCCATTCAAACACTGGTTTGCTTAATTTTATTGTTAGTTTCTCCTACTAATTTTCGTATTCATCAATTGATATTAGGTGAAATCACGTGTCCTTAAAACCACATTATAAGTTTAATTGTTATCCAATTTTAAGGTAAATAATAATATCAATATTTTCTACATCTTGATTTTTTTTTCAATATTAAAGTTTCTTAAATCACCTGTTTTAATCATTGGCCTAAATTTGAAAGCATATGTGAGTATAAGATTGTTGTTCCCTTAAATTTATGAAAAAAATAATTATAATATCTCAAAAGTAACATGTTCCAATAGATTATAGTTTCACCCATTTATGCAATTCTTAAAAAAAGCGAAACACTAAAATTTTTATTTCCACATCTATAAGTATTGAAGCAATAAAAATTCTCGAGCTAATAGACTCGAATATATCTCGAGTGAAGTTGCAGAATAGCTCACATGGTGTGATGCCCTCATCCTTTACCGTGTGGCGAGGGATCAAATCTACCCATACAATACTACTCATTATTCTTCCCTTTCTACTCCCCTCCCCTTAATAATAGTAAAAAATTTAAAAATTATGCCTTCGATTAAAACAGTTTAATAAAAAAAATTACAATAACATTATTATAAATAATTTTCTATTAGGTTTTTTGGTGTATGTATTTTAAAAAATTAATATATATTAAGTAGACATTTGGACATAAAAATTATAATTTTTGAAAAATAGTTATAGTTGGAGTTAAGTTGAAAAATAGTATTTGGAATTTGAAATTATGTTTGGACATGCATCTCATTTGAAAAAATATTGCAGTTTTGTAAGTGGGAACCAATTTTCTCTAAATTTTTTTAAAAAGTTGTCAAAATTACTTTTTGATTTTTGAAAAGTTCATTTTCGAAAGATTTTAAAAAACTTATAAATTCATGGACAAATACGTATTTTAAAAAAATTTCAAAAAAAGGAAAAAAAACATGATCATGTTTGATTGTCCGACAATATTCCCCGAAGTCTTTCGGAATTAGGACCGATCCCGGATCATGATCCTGATATTCTCGAGGGCGGGCGTCATGCCCCCGGACTCTGATTTGATGAGACCCTTCTTTTGATTCTGTCCCTTCATCATAATGTTTTGAGCTTGATTTACCCTATCGGAGACCGGGGTGTACCGTGAGTCCAATTTTACCCGTACACAATAAATATTAAAAAGAATATTTAAAAGACAATATCAATATATTCTACATCTTGATTTTCATTTTCAATATCAAAGTTTTTGAAATTATCTGTTTTAATCAGTGGCCTAAATTTGAAAGCATATGTGAGTATAAGATTGTTGTTAAATTTATGAATAAAATAATTATAATATCTCAAAGTAACATGTTCCAATAGATTATAGTTTAGACGTTGCTCTCCCCCAAAGCACGTACATGGCCCCTTATTCATTACTCTCTTCGGTCCAAAATAAGTGATTTTTTGGATATTTTCACACAGATTAAGAAATCCACCTTTTAGCATTAATTAGGAATGGAATTGACCATATTAACCTTTAGTATATCACATAAACACTCTTAACACATATTCTAACACTATTTACTCCAAGAACAATGTAGGAAAAAAATAATTAATTCATTCTTGAAATCTGGAAAAATCACTTATTTTGGACCACAAGAATTTTGGACCGGAGGGAGTACCAATTATTTTGTGCTCCTTGATCTTCGTTTTTAAGGTTTCAGTTTCATTTGTTTTGTTGAATCAACCCGATTTACGTACGGTTGTTGAATTTGGGATCGACTTTTCATTGTTGATTCCTCAGGTCATTACTGCGACAACTGCAATACGTGGAACTTAAGCATATCAATCGGGAAGCAAATTCTGTAGCTGATTCCATGGCAAAGTTTGGCATAACCTTAGCTTCTATAGGTGGCCAACAGTGGTGGCATCCTCTATGTTTTATGCCCTTTTGCTTTCGATAAAAAATGTTCTGAGGTTGCTAGCTTGAATGGTTCCCCTTTATACTCCCGTTACTTTTTCTGTTTAATCTAATATAACTAACTTTATTAACATAAAAAATAGATTATAGTTTCAACCATTTATGCAATTTCGAAAAAAATGAGACAGTAAATTTTTTATTTCCACGTCTATAAAAAAATGAGACTCTAAAATTTTTATTTCCACGTCTATAAGTATTGAAACAATGAAAATTCTGAGTCTTAAATAACTTGAATTATATTTCGAGCGACGTTGTAATTCATATGCCGTGAACCCCTCATTCTTTACCGTGTGGTGAGGGATCAAATTTACCCATTATCGTCCCCTTTCTACTCTCCTCCCCATAGTAATAGTAAAATTATCCCTTGAGTGATTAAAACAGTTTAATTAAAAAAACTACAATAAATTTGTTAAAAAATATTCTCTATTTGTTTTTTTGGTTTATGTATTTAAAAAATCGACATATATTAAGGCCCCGTTTGACCATACATTTTAGCAACGTTTTTTCAAATTTTTTTTTGAAAACATTGTTTGTTCATAGGTTAATGATTTATTTTTGAAAAATTTCTGAAATTATTTTTCAAGTTCCCAAAATCTAGTTTAGGAAAGACTTTGGGTGAAACTTGTTCTCCCACTCACAAAACTTCAAATTTTTCTCAAATAAATTGTATATCCAAATATAATTTCAACTTCTAAAAATTACTTTTCAAAATTATTTCAAAAATTATTTTTTCAAGTTTCAACTAGGTCTACGTGGAAACGCTGCCTAAGTTGTAGGTTCTTTTTGCATTGCAGTCCACTCAATCGTGCAAATTTGTATTTCTCGTACATCAAACGCCCCAATGCTATATGTCAAAGTCAAATTCCTAGGAACTCCAAATCCAATCTAATCAGTTCGAAAAATCCGAAAGAGCCACGTGGACGCAATAAAAAGGACAGCACATTCCCCCAGCATCCAATATGAACAACCCCATCAAAATTCCTCACTAGTTTATTAAAATTAGCTTCAAAATTTTCAATTGACATTTCAATGGAAATTTCAGCATCAGAAAACAAGGAAGACGTAATTCCAGAGGAGGCGAAGGTGATATTAAAGAAATTGGCATCAGTATGGGACGATATAGTGGATCCGAATGCATTACATGTGTTTCGATTAAAGGGTGCAATGACTAACATGGTTTATCAAATCAAATGGCCGAGTAAGAATCCAGAACAGCAGCGATCTAGGAAAGTTTTGGTGAGGATCTATGGGAAAGGTGTGGATGTGTTCTTTGATAGACAGAATGAAATTAGGATATTTGAATTCATGTCTAAGCAAGGTCAAGGACCTCGTTTGCTTGGTCGCTTTCATAATGGTCGTATTGAGGAGTTCATTCGAGCTCGGGTCAGTTTTTTTCTCACACCTTAAAATTTAATTTTTCCCAAGTACATTATGTGGAATAATGGTATAGGTATTATTGTGATAGAATTTTAAATTAACTGCATGGTTATGGAAAAATGCGTTGAACTGAATTTCTGGTTTCGTTAGTTGACATGGATAAGTTTAGGACAGATGGAGTATGTGATGGTGAGCATATCATGTTTGTGAATATGCTTTTGTTTTTCTTCTTGTTGTTGTTGTTATGAATGCTAGCAGATTGGTGGTGTGATGCCTTTTAGCTGATCCTTTGTGATTAAAAAGAGACTTTTCTGTTGGGATGAAGGATGCGGATGTGAAGTGGGCCAAGGGCAGCTTTGAATGGTCGCAACCAAGTAAGCTTATGCTGCCAGGGAAAAGAGGAACATTGTTTTAGGGTACAAGGAGAGGGATTGGGTGATTGATGCGAAAAGTGAACCAGTTTGATGTTCATTTGCCTAATATCTACTTGTGTATTTCTATCATGGTTAACAACAATGCTTGATTAAACTAAATTGCTCCAAGTATTCTGGTTGCTACTCCGCCTCTCCTACAAAAAAAATAAAAAATTAAATGTTTATATTAAGGGCTTTGAGCCCCATCCAAGTGGTTTCTTACTTTCTTTATATAATGCTTTCACATTAACCCAATATTTGGCTTTGTGTATTGATGAAGTTCTAATTTGCCACATCTGGGCAAACCTGATGTGACTGCTGGCTGAGATACTCATAGACTCTTATGAAATATACTTTGACAAGCATCTGGCCTCCTTTTGTCAATACCCAATTATTACGAGGCCAAGCAGATTTAGGTTCTTCAGAGCTCATGATTGTCATATTTTAGTTTCTCTGTAAGCGATCCTAGGATATCAGAAGTTTGCCTAATTTCGCTGGGGTTACCTCATGCTTCATTGGCAATATTCTAAACATACCTGTGATGCACTTGTAATTACTGATACTTCAGGAAAATGAGGGGCATAATTGTATATAATACATCTTCCATGATTGGCATTTCAGACACTATCAGCTCCTGATCTGCGTGATCCAGAGGTATCTTCCTTGATTGCTGCCAAAATGAGAGAATTTCATAAGCTGGATATGCCTGGTCCTAAGACTGTCATCCTGTGGGATAGACTGCAGTATGCTCTTCTTCTTACTACATATCTGATGAATAGAAACTGCCAAATTATTACCTTTATCGTATGCTAAATTGCCTAAACAACCTTTTCTTCTCTTAATGCTCTAGCAATTGGCTTAATGTGGCCAAACGTCTAGCTTCCGCTGAAGAAGCTAAGGACTTTCAGTTGAACCATCTAGAAGACGAGATTTCATTGTTGGAAAAGAGTCTTGCGGGAAATCATCTAAGCATGGGATTCTGCCACAATGACTTGCAGTATGGGAACATAATGATGGATGAAGAGATAAGATCAATAACCTTTATTGTAAGTACTAAGTTTCTAAATCATAGATGATCGGTACAGATGAAAAGTTAGAGGAAAAATGCAATTAACTAAATAAGAAGCATATCTACCTAGATTTTAGCTATAACAATGTTTGCGTGTATGTTGATTTCATCTGAATCTAATTTGTGTTTCCGCGACCGATAACTGGGCAATGCTTGTATCCTGACTTGTTACTGCAGGATGTAGGTGGTTCCTGCTTCAAAGCTTCATCAAGCTCTTAATTGTTTTGGAGCTGCAGTTTTGTTTTTTGCCTTTGTATTTTATTTCAGTTATTGCTCATCCACTTGGAAAGGAGCAAAAAGATACGATAGATACTGTCCAATCTATTTATTCTTACTGAAGCTTCTATGCTTGGTCAGTATCTATGGCTTTTTAAGAAATAATTTATTCAGCTTGGGGGTGAAATGCTTTAGTAAAGCTTCTTTGTGGGTTTCTGAAGGGTTCAGTGTGGCTTTTATGTCATCTTCCTCTCTAGTAAAGAAGCATTCAATCATCTGGTTGTTATATCTCTTCATCTCCGTAGCAGTATCACCTTGATAATTTTATTGTCAGAGCTGATATACTGTCTTATAAGTTATTATTTGGATTTAATTTCTGTTATTTTCTTAAATCTTTTTCTATTAACAGGACTATGAATATGCTGGTTACAACCATGTTGCATTTGATATCGCAAATCACTTCTGTGAAATGGTTGCTGACTACCATACAGAAACACCTCATATCATGGACTTCAGCAAGTATCCCGGTCAGTCAACAGTAAATCATCTTGCGCAAATGTCTTTTGTTGTTCTGGTTCCCTGAAATGCTGCTAGCAAGTACTTTTTGGGTATTTACTTTAAATTTAATTAAGCCCCTTACAACATGTGGCAGGTCTGGAGGAGCGCAAAAGATTTTTGCGCGCATATCTAAGTAGTTCAGGTAGGTGAAAACTTCCATCTTCTATCATTTATCATATGTGGAACCTTTCAAATTTCATGATGGAGCACTTAAGCTTATATCTGTATACAAAGAGTTGTAACAACTATAGATTTAGTTAATCTCAAGATCTTGCCCTATCTATCTTTTATCCATTACGAATCTCAGATGTATTAGTCTGGTAAACAGGTGGCTCTCCCAGCGAACAGGAACTGGGGAAATTAGCTCAAGAAGTGGAGAAGTATACTCTTGCCAGTCATCTTTTTTGGGGTCTATGGGGAATTATATCGGTACTCCTCCTGAACTTATTTATTCTGACATAATTAGAGTAGTTTGAGCTGTGTATGGAAAAGAACAATCAATAGTCTAAGTAGGAGCTTGGAGCTGTACACCAAGTCTGACTGTAGAAAAACTTAAATAGATATAATTAAGAGATAAGTACGAAGTCTGTCAACAATTAAGAGATAATTGGATCTGTCACAATTAATAGATTATTGGCCATGGAACAAAAAGTACTGAGAACTTAAATAGGAAGCATAACATTTATAAAGTTGCTTTTCTTGAATGTTCTAACCATTTCATGTGATAGCTCCCTGGTTTGATGTAGTTCATAGTGGGTATTAAGAATTTGCATATTACTCAAATGCATTTTTGTAAAATCACTGTCATTTTCTTGGATCTTCTTGGTTTGCGATCGATGGCACCATTTTGTATGAAATGCATTTTTTTTAAAGGTTGTAAAATGCATCCATGTAATCGCCTTTTCAGCTGCTTAGGCTTGCAATATGGTCACAGTTTCTTCTATTTGAAGTTTGTTATGATGTGGAAATATAAATGTCGGCGGAGCTTTTCGTTGATTGATGTTGTCATATGCAGACAACAAAATAAGAGAGAATTGCTCTTAGGCCATAGTCAATAGCATGTCTGTCAAGATGCCAGCCTTAATGAACAATTCATGAATTGTTAATCAGTATTGATAAAGGCTCGCTTGAGGCTTGCTTAAGCCCTGAAGTTAGACAAAGTACTCAGCAGTCTCCACTATGTTAAGGCGTGCACCTCATCACTTGTAAACTTGCCTTGAAGAGGACTGTTATATAGCTTGCAAAGTGATATATTACTTGCTAAGGAAACGTTTTGAATGAATATGTTGATGCTTAGGAATAGGAAAATAGAATTTAATATCTAGTCCATTGAATTAATATGAGAAAACTTAAAACTTCACTTTTGCATCTAAATATTAAATTTAAAATGTTTTTTTAATCTTGAATGACATGATTAAACTTTTAATTGTATTATTTACAAATCTTTAAGCCATCTAGTTGTTATTTTTGTTAATATTGTTTCCCATACATATAAGTTTTTAGGTTTTCTCCATTTGCACATTTCTTCACTAAACCACATGGTTGATTGCACTTTGTGCCTAAAGCCTAAGCAGATTTGGCTCTTCTCTACCTTTTTGCCTTTGACAATAATGTTGTTATTGAGCTTTTATTAACTTCCAATTTTGAAGTTAGTTTTTTCTCTTTTCCAGCATCATGTGAACAAGATAGACTTCAATTACTTGGAGTATGCTAGACAGAGGTTTCAGCCATATTGGTCAAAGAAACCTGAGCTATTGGGATCTTCAGGTCCCAAGAAAGGTATCTTCTATTATTTTGTTAAATTCCTTTTCTTTAAACCAGTCTCAAATTAAAGGTTCTGAATTTTGGGGTTTCCTAAACTGTGCACTTTGGTCTTGCAGGTTAACATGAAACCAAGGACATGGATACATTTGGTGATTTATCCCTTTGAGTTTTGATTGTGTGGAGTGTCAATATCTGCACCTTTGCAAGAAGAAAGTCTTTCTTAATCGAAACTTTTCATGGAATAATTTCTGGTGATAACGTTTATATCAGCTAAGTCTAGATTAGATAGTCAAGTGTATTAGCATTTTCTGCCAAATTTGCTTGGTTTTCTTGTGTATATCTCTGTAGAGAGGTGCTGGATTCAATTTTATTTTTTGCTGAAATAATACCTATGCAGCAACAACAACAACAAACCTAGTATATTCCCACAAGTGGGGTCTAGGGAGGGTAGTGCGTACGCAGACCTTACCCTTACCTAGTGAAGGTAGAAAGTTTTTTTCCAATAGACCCTCGGCTTAGAAAGAGTGAGAAGAGGAAGAAGGGGAAGAAAAAGAAAGAAAAAAGAGAAGAAAAGGGGGGGGGGGGGGGTAATTAGTAGTACCAAACACTAACAACAGGGAATACGATAGCAGAGGCGAACTAAATCATATAGTAGTACCAAACACTAACAACAGGGAATACGATAGCAGAGGCGAACTAAATCATATGACGAAGTAACGATCTACTTAAGCATATACAGGAACCCGAGCGCTGCTAAAGAAACTGGTAGGAAAAGGAGAAACTTACAACTACCTACTACCCTTCTACCGTAATCCTCGACCTCCATACCTTCCTATCAAGGTTCATGTCCTCAGTAAGCTGAAGCCGCGCCATATCATGTCTAATCACCTCTCCCCAATACTTCCTTGGCCTACCTCGACCTCTTCTCAAACCCGCCATGGTCAGCCTCTCACACCTCCTGACAGGAGCATCAATGCTTCTCCTCTTTACATGCCCGGACCATCTCAGCCTCGACTCCCGCATCTTGTCCTCCACGAAGGCCGCTCCCACTTTGTCCCGAATAGCTTCATTCCTAATCTTATCTCTCCTGGTATACCCACTCATCCATCTCAATATCCTCATTTCTGCTATTTTCATCTTCTGCACATGTGACTTTTTAATTGGCCACCACTCTGTTCCATAAAGCATAGTTGGTCGAACCACCACCCTGTAGAATTTACCTTTAAGTCTTGGCGGCAATTCTTATCACACAAGACGCCGGACGCAAGCCTCCATTTTATCCATCCCGCTCCAATACGATGTGGGACATCCTCGTCAATCTCCCCGTTACCCTGGATAATAGACCCGAGATACTTGAAACTACCTTTCTTGGGGAAACTTGAGTATCAAGCTTCAAATCCACGTGTGACTCATGAGCCCCGCCACGAAATTTGCACTCTAAGTTTTCTGTCTTAGTCCTGCTCAACTTAAAATCTTTAGACTCCAAGGTCTGCCTCCAAACCTCCAACCTCGCGTTGACCCCGCTTCGCGTCTCGTCGATCAACACTATATCATCGGCAAATAGCATGCGCCATGGCACTTCACCCTGTATGTGCTGCGTCAGCACGTCCATCGTCAAGGCAAATAAAAACGAGCTAAGAGCCGATCCTTGGTGCAGCCCCATCACAATTGGAAAGTGCTCTGAGTCTCCTCCCACAGTCCTTACCCGAGTCTTAGCACCATCGTACATATCCTTAATCACCCTAGTGTACGCTACCGGAATGCCGCTAACCTCCAGACACCTTCACAAAATTTCCCACGGCAGTTTATCGACGCTTATTCAAGGTCGATAAACACCATGTGCAAGTCCTTTGAAATAATACCTATGCAATTCATTTTTGTTTATTTGAAAGATTTTACCAGTATGATAAAGGAAAATCTAATGGTATGTTTCTTGGATGAAATTAGTTAAAGAGAGTATAATTGGAGATTAACGTTGTAATGAAAGTAGCTCGATAAATTTCTCTTTTCTCCTCTTCCTTCCATTCATCGAACATAAATATGATAATAACTTTTGGTTCGTGCACCACTTATCAACAATAAAAAATAAAAAGCAAAGGATTTATGCATTTAAAAGTTATAATAACTGCTAATTCAAACATTATAGTATTCTCTTTAACTTTGTCTGCAAAAATTATATATTATTCACATCAAAACATTGTGATTGAAATTAACTAATTAGATCTTGAACCTCGAGTTTCAATGACAAGGGTCAAAATCACTTCTTTTAACAAGTTGCAAAAAGTTTTTGTTGAATCGACAACCTTCTTTACCTCTAAGTTAATTGAACTTGGTCATTTGGTTTGAATACAAGTTATGCGGATATTAGTTATATTGGGATTATTTATGCTGGGATTACTTGATTGCTAATTTCACTGCTTTATCCTGGGATTACTATTCCGCCATCTAACAAGTATAAGTTTTTCCAGTAATATTTTTAATCTTGAGAGGATTAGTAACCAAACAAGAGATAAGGCGGTACTAAATTTTTATCTCAGGATTATTTTATTATCCATCATACCAAACGACCCTTAGTACATTTGCCTTGGTCTTCGAGGCAAATAAAATTAATACCTTCATATTATTTATAATCATCATCCGAATGAAAGCCTTGTTTAAATTGGTATTGCATACAAGAAATACCAAAATTGAAGAAAAAAATTATATGGAGGGCCATATATTTGTCCGTATAATCAATTTTGTCAAAATACAATTACTTAAGATCTTTAGGCCTATGATTAATAGAGACTTCTTCATATGCGTTTTGTGAGTTATGTTAGAATTTAGTCCTCCTATGTAACTGAAAAAGGTAAAAACTTTTTTCTAGAGTTGTTATATGAATGTTTTTGAAATAGTAACAATCCACAAGACAAGTACGAAACTATAGCAGAACAAAAAGAGAGACATTTTAACAGCACAAGGTCTTATTTTCAGGAAATTAAGATTTGACTCAGGTAATCCAACTATAAACTTTTTTTTCTTTATATAAAAGGAAAGCTAAATGCAGTTCTTTGCAGGCCTATTCAAAAGCAAAAACTTACTTCTATAACATGAGCAAGTTCAACTAACATGCGCGATTCACCCTCAGATTCCTCCCCTCCTTATGCTAATATTCGAAAGAACTAAGCTGTCGATAACCCCTACTGAGCTAAAAGAATGAGAGATCCCAAAAATGTAGGGATTTACATGTTCCTTTGGATCTCTTGAGTCAATGTTGCAAATGCTACTCTCCACTCGGGGCTAGTTGACCCGCTGCAAAATATCTTGTGCATTATTTTCAGTTCTTCAGGATCAGCTTTACTCAAAAGTCTTCTAAGTACTAACTGTAACTCATTGTCAGATGAATGATTTCCGCTACTTCTCACTAAATTAGCTTGCTGCTGCTGCTCATCCGCAGCCAACTTGCCTGTTTCCACCGCAGCAGATCTTGACACGAGAGGCTGCTCCAGAACGTCAACAGACTTCCATAAACCTGAAGACCCTTTGACGTTTTCACACCCATCCTTGAGTTTTAGCTTGTCGTTCCAGTACTCGAGGCATTGATGGTTTTTGTCAAGAGCTTCAATGGACTGTAAACACCAGTGTTAGCACAATGTAGGAGTAATTCACTTGGAAGCAAGTTATAAGTAGATGGAAAAAATTTTATTTATTAAAAGAGTCAGAAATAAGAAATTTGATCCTACTAGGATGAAATTGTTTATAAGCAAAGGCTCGAATGGATATACGGTACCATCACTTTGTACTCTAGGTTTTACAAGAGATTCCTCTCAGCTCGAAGAACTGAGGCTAGGTTCAAACAATAAGTGCGCGCAAGAATCTAAACCTAAAGTGGATAAAGATAAGGTGATTCCACTAATGAACCAACTACAAGATCACAAGATAGAAGCATCTTGTCCTTTCATCGGGAAATGTAGTGTTAATCCTGCTCATTTCTACTGTGCTAATTTAACTATGAATTCTTTCCTTGTTTTTCTAAAATCACATGTCGATTATTTGTTGATCAAACTAAAGCCAGTTAGTCCCAAACTTGAATGAGCAATATCGTGGACATAGCAACATAATAGGTAATACCTGAACTGTGTGTGGGGAGAGTAACCCAAACATTTTGAGCCCGTCGATACTTTCTTCAGGTTGCAATGGTGGTAGATCTTGTTTTCCTAGATTTCTTTTTGTTGTGATTTCTTTATTGACTCTCTGCAGAACCATTTCCCAGCATTTTTGAGCAGAATAACAAACAAAACTCTCATCTGGATGCTCTTCTAAGCTAACCTGAAATCAAGTAGACAATAATTAGAGTTAGAGTCCAGCAAATAGATCGAAACTGGAATTTAACACATTTCATTGTAAAGTATCAGTGGCTGTGAATCAGCACATTATTTACTCCCGTGTGAAAGCCTTAAAAAAACATAGCACGCTCAAAAAAAAATTCCGAGTGTGTTTCTAACCTTTCTTCAAAGTAGATGCTTACGTTAAGGGTAATAACGAGAAATTTTCCTTCCAAACACACTATGCAAATAATGAGAATAATTCATATATTTCCTTACAGGTACAACTATGCAAAAGAGAATAAAATAACAGAAGACTCGTCCTTACTATCTGATATTTTCTCAACTTATATAACTCATTAGGCAGAGTGATGAATAACATCTTACCTTGAATAGAGGTCCAAGGAGCCCACCATCCAAGATCTCACATATATAGCTACTAATTGTCACAGGATTGAGCACATCAAAGAACTTAACGCGGCTTCTAAATCCTGTTATGGAGCATCAACATTGAAATATACAATAAGGGCATTGAAATTTGAAGAAAATGTCACATAAAATGCAAAAAAATTCTAAGTATGAAAATCATATTTAACAAACCTTTAGGGAATATCGCCAACTTATTGCACCACAGCCTTCCCGAAACAATTGACCCAAAATTTAGCGGGTCGACATGGTAGGCGAGCTTTTGTTCAGACATTTTGCTGCTCGGGGAATCCTTATTAGTGTCAAGTGTTCCATTTTGATGAACACGAAGTGAGCACATGGAAAGATCAAAGCCAAATAACTTCTTGCCACTACTGTGATTCGAAGCATAAGAGTTGGTTGCATCATCAGATAATAAATGGAGATATTTTTCCGTAGCAAGAGAAACTGAGGATCCAGAATCGCAGACTAAAATAACTCCACCCCTTTCTGTAGGTACTTTTAAATCATCATTCATCTCTTGTATAGCTATGGATGTGGAGGTCTCATTTGCTTTTTTTCCGCACTCAGTGGACAAGCTGTTACAATCTAGATCAAAGTGATATCCATTAGTGGCAGGAGCTTCTTCTTTCGCACCTTT